TATTTGCTGGCTAATCCATTAGGGAAGGATAGGGCTTACTGTACCTAAGACTTCCTTTGCTAATTAAGATAAAGAGAGAGACAGAAACTTGGAGACTTCAGATCATCTCAAATTGTTTAATGGAGAAAAACTGCCAATTTTATGCTCCTGGATCTGTCTCTCAGAACTTGCCTGCATCTTTCTTTCTTCTTCACATTTTTCTCTTGACTGCATTAAACCATTCCTACGGCCCTGTCTTAGATGTTCACCTGTCTTAGAAGCAACTGAGTTATTAATAACTTTCATAGTTCCTGATTTTTACCTGAAATCCCTGGACCAGCAAGGCCAAGTTAATGACCACATACACATGCTGGTGGGCTGCATATTGGCCACCTGAGTTCCCCACACCGACAGGGATTTTTAGTTATAGCCAGAAGCAACAGAAGTAAAGTATTTTTTAAATGGCTTTGCTTTTCAGGAGTAACTAAATCAGTTATTCAGGCTCAGCCTTTCATCCTTTATTGTTCCATAAACATATATACATATATATTTTTAATTAGTTTAATAGTATAAAAGTAACCATTTTAAAGTGAACAATTTAATGGCACTTAGCACAGTCATAATGTTATGCAACCACATTTATCTAGTTCCAAAACACTTTCATCATTCCAAAAGGAAACCTCATTATCTATTAAAGTCACTCCTATTTCTCAATTCCCCCAGCTTCTAGCAACCTGTCGCTATGGATTTACCTGTTCTAGATTTTACATATTATTATACAGTATGGGAGTTTTTTTGTCTGCTTTCTTTCACATAGCATGTTTCCAAGGTTCATCCACATTGTATTTTTAAGTTTTAAGAACATTGTATTGTAATTGTAATTTCTTCCTTTTCATGGCAGGATAATATTCCATTTTGTGGGTATAATTGGAATTTCACAGCAGGATAATATTCCATTTTATGGGTATACCACAATTTGTGCATTCATTCATTGATGGACATTTGGGTTGTTTCTACCTTTTGGCTATTGTGAATAGTGCTGCTATGAACATGGGTGTAGTTTTCAGTTTGGGTACCTATTTTCAATTGGCAGCGGGTAGGGGGAGTATATCCCTAGGAGTGGATTGCTGGGTTATATGGTAATTGTATGTTTAACTTTTTGAGGCACCAAATTGTTTTGAGCACTTACTCTGTTCCAAGCACTGAGTTGAAGAGTTCACAAAATAGTTCACTTGGATGACAAACATCTAGAGCCAAGAGGCAGCAGAGGGCCAAAGTAGTTCAAAAAGTCTTTAGGAATTTGTGACAGTTCTCTCTCACTCCCTCTACTCCACCCTGTCTCCCTCTTTTAATGTACATACTTTTTCTTTAATTATCAGCAATGATTAATAACAGCAATAACCACTTCTATTCGTTCATTCTCGCATTGCTATAAAGAAATGCCTGAGACTGGGCACATTATAAGAAAAGAGGTTTCATTGGCTCATGGTTCTGCAGGCTGTACAGGAAGCATGGCAGCATCTGCTTCTGGGGGGACCTCAGGGAACTTACAATCATGGCAGCCCGCCACTGCACTGTCTTCATATGGCTGGAGCAGGAGGAAGAGCACAAGAAGTACTACACACTTTTAAACAACCCCATCTCATGATACTCACTATCAACAAGAACAGCCCCCAGCAGATGGTGCTAAACCATTCATGAGAACTCCACCCACATGATCCATCGACCTCCCACCAGGCCTCACACCTCCAGCGTTGAGTATTACAGTTGAACATGAGATTTGGGTGGGGACACAGACCCAAACCATATCACCACCATTTATTGAACAAATATTATTCCATGTAGTAGATATTAACTCATTTTGCAGGCTCAAGTAGCAGAATCAGAATTTGAACCCCAGTCTGTTTGACCACAAAATGTACGCTCTTTCAACACACTACATTACCACTTCTTGACAGCAGAAACAGGAAAGGCTTAAAACAAACACCAGATACCAAATCAAGGCTGCTCTTGGCTGTCAGGAAGCCACAGAGGGCTACTCTGTGGCCAAGGATTCTGTGGTAGACCCATCATTACATTTGCAGGCTAGCCTGAGTGGTAAAGAAGAGCACAGTCTCAGGATTACTAAGACAACCCTGGATTACTTCTGCCATGACAAGTTAAGAGCCCCTGCCATGACATGGAACCGAGGTGACTCTGCCTGGAATGATAGGGTTTTGCAGCTGTAAGTGAAGTGGGTGCAGATAACTTGCTAAAAGTGGGGAATATTGCATATGATTCACTGTATTTAAGTTAGAGAAGACTCAAAGCTATCTCTAAAGCAGTATCTGTCACTCATTTTGCAGCCAATAGGGTTTCTGATGTAAGAACAAGGATAATGCTGCACCTACATCTATCTCAGAGTTTCTCAATCTTGAGTAATCATCAGCAACCCCTAGAGGGCTTCTTAAAAACAGATTCCTGGGCCTCACCCCCAGAAATGCTGTTGCAATAGGTCTAGGTGGGGCCTCAGATTCTACATGTCTAATATGCTCTCAGGTGATGCCCGTACTGATGGTGCCACTCACAACAGACAATCGGTAGAGGAGTAAGAGCAAGTGAGCAAGAGGAACAATTGTGACAGATTCCCAAAGATGACTTGAACTACTTTGGCCCTCTGGTCTCCTCCTGGCTTTAGATGTTCACCCTCCAAGTACACTATCTTGTGAACTCTTCAACTCAGGGCCTGGAACACATAAGTGCTCAACTTTAAAATATAGGAAAACGATTTGGGGGTTCCTCAAAAAGTTGAACATAAAATTATATAACCCAGCAATGCCAGTCATGGGTATATACCCAAAAGAACTGAAAACAGGTACTCAAACTAAAACTTGTACACACATGTTCACAGACTCCACTTTAAGTAGCACTAGCCAATCTTATTTGTGCCAAGACCCCCAATAACCAGCCATTGCTGACTTACCATTAATACTTACGACATTACAAGCATCATGGTGCTTCATGTCCCTACCAGATATGTGTAGATCCTTCTCAAAAGCAGAGTGTTCCCATGGGAGTATCTCTCACATGTGAACATCTTGCATGTGTACAAGAGAAAATGTTAGTCTGGTACAAAAGTAATTGCGGTTCTTGTTCTGAAAACTTAAAACTAATGGCAAAAACCACAAGTACTTTTGCACCAACCTAATAGAACCACTGATTCAGAGAATTGGGAGTTGTTGTTTTGTTTTGTTTTTTGAGACACAGTTTCGCTCTTCCGCCCAGGCTGGAGTACAAGTGATAAAATCTCAGCTCACTGCAACCTCCACCCCCAGCGTTCAAGCAATTCTCCTGCCTCAGTATCCTGAGTAGCTGGGATTATAGGTGCCCACCACCACACCTGGCTAATTTTTGTTTTTGTTGTTGTTTTCATTTTTTGTTGTGTTTTTCTTTTGAGATGGAGTTTTACTCTGTCACCTAGGCTGGAGCGCAGTGACGCGATCTCAGCTCACTGAAACCTCCCCCTTCTGGTGAGAGATGACAATGTGCTAGCAGCCCTCACTCTCTGGGGTGCCTCCTCTGTAATGTCTGTCCCTGCTTCCAGTGTAGGACGCTAGCCAAGCCCAGAGGAGTCCGGCCTCTAGGGAGCCCACCACAGCCTCCCCAGGCCAGCGGCCCCCACTCAGCCCACCTGGGCCTCCTCTCTCACTAGGAAGCCCTGCTGCTTCTTGCAGGCCTTTGACCTGACGGTGCGCCTACCATGCTGTGCCAGTGTGAGGGCTTCAGCCTGCCACTGCACTGTGGGAGCCCCTCTCTGGGCTGGCCGAGGCCGGTGGGGCTCCCTCTGCTTGCGGGGAGGTGTGGAGGGAGAGGCGCGGGCAGGCGGGAACCGGGGCTGCGCTCGTCGCTCACAGGCCAGCGTGACTTCAGGCGGGCGCAGGCTCCGCAGGCAGTGCACTCGGAGCACAGCCTGCGGGCACCACCGGCCCAGGGCAGTGAGGAGCTTAGCACCCGGGCCAGCAGCTGCGGAGGTTGCGCTGGGTACCCCAGCACTGCCGGCCTACATGAACCCCGCTCGAATTCTCACCGGGCCTCAGCCCCCTCTCCACGGGGCAGGGCTTGGGACCTGCAGCCCGCCATGTCTGAGCACCCCCTCGGTGGTGGGCTCCCAGGCGGCCGGAGCCTACCCGATGGGCGCTGCCCCCTGCTCCGTGGCACCAGGTCCCATCCACTGCCCAAGGGCTGAGGAGTGCAGGTGCAGCGTGGGACTGGTGGGCAGCTCTGCTGCAGGATCCACTAGGTGAAGCCAGCTGGGCTCCTGAGTCTAGTGGGCACTTGGAGAACTTTTCTGTCTAGCACTCTGTGTCTAGCTCAGGGATTGTAAACGAACCAATCAGCACCCTGTCAAAATGGTCCAATCAGCTCTCTGTAAAATGTACCAGTCAGCAGGGTGTGGGTGGGGCCAGATAAGGAAAGAAAAGCAGGTTGCCGGAACCAGCAGTGGCAACCTGCTCGGGTCCCCTTCCACACTGTGGAAGCTTTATTCTTTCGCTCTTTACAATAAATCTTGCTACTGCTCACTCTTTGGGTCCATGCTGCCTTTAAGAGCTGTAACACTGAAGGTGAAGGTCTGCAGCTTCACTCCTGTCAGCGAGACCACGATCCCACCAGAAGGAAGAAACTGCAGACACATCTGAACGTCTGAAGGAACAAACTCTGGACACACCATCTTTGAGAACTGTAACACTCACCACGAGGCTTCATTCTTGAAGTCAGCGAGACCAAGAACCCACCAATTCTGGACACACTGGGTTCAAGCAATTCTCCTGCCTCAGCCTCCTGAGTAGCTGGGACTATAGGTGCCCACCACCATGCCCAGCTAATTTTTTTATTTTTAGTAGAGACGGGGTTTTGCCATATTGGCCAGGCTGGTCTCAAACTCCTGACCTCAGGTGATCCACCGGCCTTGGCCTCCCAAAGTGCTAGGATTATAGGCATGAGCCACCATGCCTGACTGAGAATTGGGAATTTTAAAGGGCACGGATCCCATTCACATTGCTCAGGCAACACAGAATAATGACAATTATGCTAATTACTCCTCCAAACCTCATGGCAGTTTGGAGGACTATGCTTTTCCCTCCTCCAGCTGCCTCCATGGGCAGCGTCCTCTGCAAACCTATGCTTTCTTACTTCCTTGCCTCTTCAGAACTTACCTCTTACAAAGGAGTGCACAGCCTCCTGGAGATGGTTCTGTTTGTTTAAGGCAACTGGGGGCAACAGCCTATGTGCTGAAGATGAAACAGGAGCCGTGTTAATTTTGCGTTAATGACAGCAGAGCAATTTTCTTACAGGAAATAACTAGTTACCTTAATCATTTTAAGTAGTTATTAGCAGCAGCTAAAAAGGATGGCTATGCTTATCACAATACACGCACAAAGGAAATGAAGACATGAATAACAGGACCTTAAACAGACTTCTGGCATCTTCCTTCTGGGTGGTATTAAATGGTATTAATCTTTTTAACTGACTTCAATCCTGAGTCCACAGCCATGTGATAAAATGTTAAGTGAACTGCTGGAAATAGAGGTGGTCCCCCCAGATTTATTGTGCCAATTTACCAGCAGTGGAAGAGCACACCACTGCTGTGAGAAAAGCCATAGAAAAGAAAGAATGACAGGTAGATGTATGGATTAATTAGTATAATGCAGATAATAGCATCTTTTCCAATATTAATACTTCTTCAGAGGCTGTTCTATATATGTCTCTGGGAAAGAAAAAAGCTAGAATATATTGTTTGCTATTTCATCCCATCCCCCTCACAAGATAATGATGAGAGTTAAGAGATGAATAAAACTCAGACAACTTTATCCAGACCACAGCCACACAATAAAAAAGTAACCACACAAGAAGGACAAAGTGCTTGTTCAAGGGTTTTACGATTAAGACATGTCAAGTAATTTTTTTCCTAAATAAGAGGACTATTTTTCTTCCCTGCAGTGGTTGTGCTTGTGAAAGGAATCAACTGGATCAGTTCAGAAAAATCATCTATCTCAACAAAGTATATTTAGTGCTTATGATGTGTCAGGAGCTGTGCTAGGTCCTGGGGAAATAATTTCTATGAAACACTGTCCGGCCCTCAAGCAGCTCTCATTTTACTTGGGAGATATCCTACACACAAATCATTGCAATATAGAGCAGTAGAGGCCTTAATAGAGTTATGTTGTGGGCACGATGGTGGCAGAGAGGCATGCATGAGCATCTCTACCTGGAGGATGAAGCCTGGGCAGGTTTTTGAAGGATGACTAAGTTTTCCAGATGAACCTGGGGAGGGAAGGACATTCTAGGAGGAGGGGAAGGTGTGTTTACAGATACAGATGTGCAAACAGCCAGGTCCATGCATTATGTGGACTGGGCAGGGAGGTGAATGGTGAGGCTGGAGGTCATGGAGAGCCTTTCGGGCCGGATAAAAGAGACTGGACATTTCCCAGAGGAAACCAAGGTACCGCTGAAGGATTTCCTCTGCAGGGAAGTGAAACGTTTAGACCTAGAGCCATCACAATGGCTATGGAGAGACTGGCTTCAAGAGATGTAAGGTTGGAAGCAGCAAGGCCAGTTAGGAACTGATGCAATAATAAGGTAAGATTACTTGAGGCCCTGATCTGAAGCAGTAGCACTGGGCATAAAGAGGACAGGAATAGTTGCAAGAACCATGAAGCGTATTACAAAAATTCACAAAACTTCGTGACTAATGAGCTCTCATGAATAAGGAAGACAAAAGAGTCTCCGTAGGCGCCCACGTCTATAAATGTAGCACTGGGAGGATGATTGCCATGTTAGAGGGGACGAAGGAAGAGGAGATTTGGAGTGGAGTTCAGGGTGGCAGGATAATGAGCTTGACTTGGAATAGGCTATTTGAAGTACAGAATTCCCACTGAGTGCTCATAAGTCTTTCTTGCATAGACGCAATGATTCACTACAACCAGCTGAGGTAGCTGCATGGACTGCTTGGGGCCATCCCTTGTCTCTACCATCTGGGACATCAAGGTTCCTGCTTACCAAATGCCAAAGGAGAGTGAGCCTGAGAGAGAATCCAGGGCTGGCTGGGGCTGGAGGGCTCATTTTCTCATCACTGCTCAACCCAGCTCTGAATTCATGGACCAAGAAAGCAAAGAGTGGCCCTTTCCTGAAACCATCCAGTGTGACAGGCATTAAGGCCACAAGACTGTTCAACTCAGAAAGACCAACAAGAGAGGTGTGTGTTTTGTCTCAGCCAAGACAGAGTCAAGAGTATCCATTTCTTGAGCATGCCTTAGAATAAGCTAAGTTGATGGAGTTCTTCCAAATCTCCCCTCCTGCAAAGCCGCTGGAACTCCCTCCCCACTAGAAAGCAGCCAGAGCTCAGGGAACTCATTTTAACTATTCCAGGAGAAGATTGGGACTGGCAGGGTGGGGGATCTGGGCTGGTAGAATTCATTTATGTTCAATTCAGCTCCCCTGGGCAAATAGCCCTGGCTTGGGAATCAAGAAATGAGCTTTTCCTGAATTTCTGAAGTCCTTTCTGAGACACTGCAGAGGACTCTGAAAATAGTGCAGGCTATCTGGAGTTCACTTTCATTCTGGCTTCTGGTTAAGAGCCAGGATCTGATATTAGGCTCCTGGGGTTCGAATTCTAGCTCTTCAACTTATTAGAAAAGTGAGATATTGGGTAAACTACTTAACCTCTAAGTTTTGGTTCCCCGGCCCCCACCACTCTGCAAAAGAGGGGTGATGAAAATGTTATTACCTAACCCCATAGGGGATTCATTGGGAGGCTCAGATAAGATAATGCTTGTAAAACACCAAGTACAATGCCTCGGTGTTGTACCCAATAAATGTTAACTGCATTACTGTACTTAGGGCAACTGATCCCAACCCAGGTGCTACTTACTCGATTGCAAAACAGTGACTAAAACCATGGACTGTTAGTGAACATTATAGCGCTGGCATGCTGTGATCCTGTATGCACTGGGCATTGAGCCATCTTTGTGGTGGTGGTAGCAGCAGTAGTATTGTTTGTGTGTGAGAGTTTGTATTTTGGGGAAGAGGTAATAAGAAATGTGGGAATATGGGTAACTTAAGATTCTTGAGTGCCTATTGCATGTCTGGTGGATACTAGGTGTTTTATATGCATTAACTTACGTAATTCTTACAACAACTGAGGAAATAAACAGTATTATCTCTACCCTAAAGATGAAGTTCAGACAGGTTAACTCAATGCCCTAAGTCAGTTATGAAGTGGCAAGGCTGGGGTTAGATTTCTAACTCTTCTTACTACATACAGGCTATGGAGGAACCGCTACAAGCAAAGAAGCTATCATTGAAAGCACAGTCAAGTCCACATTTTAATGTTACAAGATTTCAAAAGGAGGAAGAGAACAAATTCATACAGGAAAATCCAGAAGGCCAGCATGGAGGAGATAGCAATTTAGGAGGGGCATTCCACTAACAGAAATTATAGCCAAAACAATGGCCATTCCTGGTAGAGACAAACCACATGGATAAAGATCCAAATGTGGCCGGGTGCAGTGGCTCACACCTGTAATCCCAGCACTTTGGAAGGCCAAGGGGGGAGATCACGAGGTCAGGAGATCGAGACCATCCTGGCTAACAGGGTGAAACCCCATATCTACTAAAAAATACAAAAAAATTAGCTGGGCGTGGTGGCGGGCGCCTGTAGTCCCAGCTACTCGGGAGGCTGGGGCAGGAGAATGGCATGAACCCAGGAGGCGGAGCTTGCAGTGAGCTGAGATCGCACCACTGAACTCCAGCCTGGGTGACAAAGTGAGACTCCGTCTCAAAAAAAAAGCGACCCAAATGTGTGAAACTGTGAGGCATGTTCAGGAGGCATCAAAGAGCCCCTTCAACAGTAGGTGTATGTTGTAAAAGAGGAGGTGAGAGGAGGCTGGAAAAGTCAGGATTGGGCTGTGGAGAACCCTGAGGGACAGCTCAGGGCAGGGAGCCTTGAATTCAGGTGGGAAAGAGATAGCATTAGCAGCTGGGAAGAGCCAAAGGCCGGCCCCCAATCAGAACCTGCAGGAAAGGGTTAGTGCTGTGCCTGGGGTAGCTCCTACCTAGAAGACAGAACCTGAGACTTACAGCTGGCAGATACACCAAGTCAGCTGTGCCCATTTCTCCACAGCTGACATGAAGTAAAACACTCACTACAGGAGTGTGAGGGGACTTCATTCCACAGGGGATCATTTATTTAGCCACCCTCTACGTCCCAGAGCACTTCCATCTATTGGAGGCAAGATAACTTGGTACTTAACATTTTGTCTTTGGCATCAGACACAAGCTCTTGTTCTATTAAAAACTGTGTGACCTGGATACATTACTTAGCATCTCTAAGCCTCAGTTTCCTTAACTCTAAATTGGAGGTGATAAGGTTCTCATACATGGAATTTTTGCGAGGATGAAATGAGGTAATGCATGAGAACAGGCTATCACAGCCCTGGCTCACATTATAGCCCAATAATGTTCACTAGAGTTCACTAGTGGTGGTGTTACTCATTGTGGATATAAGAGATAAGCACCTGGAAACTTGGGGAAGTATGGATGCTACAGATAAATCCAGAGAAAGAGCTGGAATGGAGCTCAGGGATCACTGAACCCCTCAGCCAGGGCCCAACAAGAGAAGATTAATTCCCCAGGTTCACGCATGAGTTGGTGTCCCAGAGATTCCAGGAAAAAAATTAAAAAAGGAATGCAGACCCAAACAATCAGGGAAGCTCTCCACAATCCTTGGTGAGAAGGGGCTGCTTCTGCAGCCCACAAACCAGGTCTAACATGTGGCTCTGCCTTTTACTGACTGAGTGACTTCAAGCAAGTTATTTTACCTCCCCCACTTCAGTTTCCCCATCTGCTAAATGGGGACAGTAATCCCTGCCTGTACACCTGCTGTGAGAACTGAATGAGATGACCTCTGTAGGGCATTGAGGACCCTGCTGGCACATGGGAAACAACTCTCCTTAAATGGTAGCTACTATAATTCTTTTAAATTGAAGGTCAGGCAAGATAGGATGGGCAGATAAGAGTAGGGAGGTGTATCAGTCCATTTTCATGCTGCTGTAATTTATAAAGGAAAGAGGTTTAATTGACTCAGTTCCACGTGACTAGGGGGGTCTCACAATCACAGCGGAAGATGAAAGAAGAGCAAAGGGATGTCTTACATGGCAGCTGGCAAAGAGAATGAGAACCAAGTGAAAGGGGTTTCCCCTGATAAAACCATCAGAACTCATGAGACTTACTATCATGAGAACAGTATGGGGGAAACCACCCCCATGATTCAATTATCTCCCACCGGATTCCTCCCACATGTGGGAATTATGGGAGCTAAAACTCAAGATGAGATTTGGGTGGGGACACAGCCAAACCATATCAGGAGGGTACACCAGACAAAAGCAGCAGCTTGACCAAGTCTACAGATCGAAAATAGACTGTGTTTGGGAATCAGAGACCTGGATTTAAGTCTAGATCTGTTGATAAACAACTAAGTGACTTTGGGTCGTCAGCTCCTCCTGTCTGAAAGACAGTTTCGAAGCATCCTGGCCTCATTCACAGAAGGGCTATTGTTTGGGTTCAGAAAGGAAGTGGGCAGGAAGATACATTGTAAATTATAAAGCTCTGCCTGCAAGAGCTGGTTTTCTCTCTCCCTGGACTGAAAAATGCTTGAGGCCAAGACTGAGTCTCTTCTTGAAATTGCCCCTCCCTGGTACAGTAGCTGGCATAGCATGCATGCCACCACTCTGTGGATGGGAACCACACTGTCCCCACTCACCCTTAGGAATGCCTCAGACTCTGGCTACCCAAGGGATGAAGACCTTCCCCTCTAGCTGACCCAGTTCTACTGGAAACAACCTTTGCCCTGACAAGAGGCCCCAGAGCGAGCCACGGTATTTGGGGGTGGACCCTCTGCGGAATGGTTGGGCCTGGGTTACAAGTATAGGGAGGAAAAAATTACAAATGGAATCTGCCCCAGAGAGATCGGGACCAGTGGTTTCCAAGTAAAGCCACAGCGCTCTCACATACACACAGATACACTTGGAATGGATATTGAAGTCTTAATATAGACTGCCCACACGCCTGTTCCCAAGTGCTGTCAGCAAAATGCTGTCTCTGTTTCCCTCCCAGAGCATATTTTGGAAGCTTAGGACAAGGGCACCATCTGGACTTCCCTGCAGTACAGTGAGAGTAATTTGGCTTTCCCTCCTTCTGTCTCCTTTCCCCACTGTCACCCCCAACTCACCTTTCAGTCACAGGATGAAAGATCCTTCCATAAAACAAAATCCACTAGGAGAGGAAAGAACCAGCTGCATCCTGCATGGAAGTGACATTGAATGACCACACAGGGTGCATGCAGCAGGAAGGATGTTCCAACCCAGTCATTTTTTTTTTGCTTGCTCAGCAGAAATGTGTAGCACAAGAAACTATCATTCTTCCAATTTACAGATAAGGAAACTGACTTTCCTAGCCACAGCCCTCCATCTGGGCAGTACGCACACATATATACCACAAGGGCTGTTTTAAAATGGGTAGGAGGTATTTGGGATTGACATCATGATGGAAGTACTGCAAGCAATTAGTGGGAGTAGTGCAAAGTTTCTAAAGGCCCTGCAAGCATGGGACAGTCACACACAATGAAGACTTGTTCAGACCCCACTGTCCACCGATCTCTAGTAACACTGTCTGGGGAGCAGGGGGAGAGCTGGATTCTGAGATTTAACTTGGCCCAAAAGCCCTTCCATCAGAATTCATAATTCCTTCTTCAATGTGATGCGTTCCTGTGACTCCCTCCCTCCTATGTGGCATGTAAGAGCCCGTAAAACAGATCTCATTGTCCTCTGGCATTTCGCTTCATTTCAAATTGCAGCAACAGGCTAGAATCAATATGACTATCCCTGGATTGTTCAAATTAGTTCCTGAATCATTGCTTTTGTACTTTTCCACATAAATGTGGGTACTTTCTTGGTATTTGGTTTTTCTTGCCATTTATTTTCCAATAATTGGATGAAATGTGTCTTGTTTCTTGGAATAAGCTAATACTTTTCTGTGCTCGCCAAAAGTTGTTTTGTGCTCATTACTCATCTTTTATAATCTTCTTGGATGCTTTTCCCAATTTTTCAGAAGCCTGCGTTGGGATCTCCTATTCCCTGCAATCTGAATTGATACATCATTTTCTTATTTGCTTTTTTATTTAAAAAAAAAATAAATCACTAAATAATTTGTGGTGCCTTGTATAGTTAAAATATTAGTAATCAGACAGATATTCAAATTACTTTTAACATGTCAAGTACTGGCACATGAGATTATTAAATTTGGGTGATTTGATTCCAGGCTCACCTGGCTCACCAAGAACCTAGGCAGGCTCTGGAAGGGCAGGAATAGGGGAAAGTTGGCAGGCAGTTGGCAATGTGATTTCTGGCAGAATCAGACACCACCATTGAGAAAATGTGCTATAGTAAAGGGTCACTTCCCTCTAGAGTTTTCAACCGAGTGTCAGAAACAAACCTGCTGTCATCAACATTCCCTACCCCTGCACGTACAACCCCCTTCTCCATCTTCAAACTTTGGATGACTTTCCACTGTTCTTAGGATAAAGGCAATATTCTTACCAGGGTGTCCAAGACTGAATGTAGTCTATACTTACCTTTTTCTCCTGAGTCAGCCTACCTCATTCCCCTTCCCTTCTGGGCTCCAGACTCTTCCTCTTACACATGATGCTACAGGACACTTGCACATGTGCCTCCTACTACCTCTAAGGTCTTCCCTCTTTTCATCTCCTCATGCCCAGCACAATGCCTGGCACATGGGAAACATATACGGGTTTGTTGGAAGAATCAATGAGTGAAGGTTTGAGATATTTTATTTGGATTTGGTTTGATTAGACCTAAGCATGATCAAATGGAGAAACCAGAAGTCACAAAGTGTCTGCCAGGAGGCCCTGGGACTAAGCTGTACATTCATATTTTTTGCCCATGTCCTTGCCTAGCCTTCTTCTCTGTTGAGACAACCAGCCTGGTCCCATAGTTGTCCATTTGCAACCCCAGGCATAAACATGCTGCCTACTGAAACTTTGGTTTAAATATTTGGTTTCAATTCTACATACAATCACATACCACATAACATTTCCTTCAATGACAGGCTGCCTGTGTGACAGTGGTCCCCTAATTTACAATACCGTACATTGCTTGAGCCTTTTCAATGTTTGGATACACAAATACTCACCACCGTGTACAATACAATTGTGTATGGTAACATGCTGTGCAGGTTTGTAGCCTAGGAGCAATAGGCTATGCCATATACCATCTAGGTTTATATAAGTACGCTCTATGATGTTCACACAATGACAAAATCACCTAATAATGCATTTCTCAGAGTGCATCTTCGTTGTTAAGCAACGTATGACTGTAAGTTGACTTTGATGAAAACTCAGGAGGCAACATCCTATATTTCCCATCAGTGTTTTAGAAGAATGACAAAACACTGTCCTTAAAATCTCCATGTTTTCCAGATAAAGACCCTGAGGTCTAAAAGGGGGCAGTGGCTCACCGAGCACACCTACCTACTGAGTGGCAGAGCTGTCATTCAAACTCAGCCCCTTTGACTCCCAGTCCTGTGCTCTTTCTAGTATCCATCCCCCACAGTCAATCCACTGTGGGTTTAATGGCTTTGGAATAGACTAGTGTGTGTTTCTGCTTATTAAGTATCATACTTTATGCAATTAATGTGTGCAAAACCAAGCCTAGTTCTGTTAACATTTTATCCAAATTGCTGTGCAGCTTCATTTACGAGAGGAGAGAAAACCCTCCTCTCTTATCTAATAGATGTTATGTGTCTATTTTCCATGAATATGTCAGTTAGGACAGTAGACACCTAAAGTGACTCTTCTGAATTAACCCTGAGTGAATAAGAGGACTTTGGCAAGCAGTGCGTGAGGATTCAGTCTTTCCTTCCCCCAGGATGGGGACTAAGTGTGAAGTGAGCTAGAAAAGTCTTTTCTCAGTCAACCCTTTGGTGTGCATCTGTTGCAGGTACTGAGAGTCAGTGCCCCTGGATATTTGACAAATCACATTCCTCTTCAATTTAGTTCTATCTATACCAGTGAAGCTATAAACCTTTATGAATAACTATAAGAGGATAAAACTTTGCATTGTGGTCTCCTGAAATGTCATTCAATCACATTGCCCTCTGGACACCACATTGCTGAAGCTTTCAGAGCCTTTCTCAGCATCACAGAGACATGCTTTGGCCTAAATTGTCTCATGATCGTGTAGAAGCTGTCTTCCTTGTTCACTCCAGAGCTCAGACCTCAGGCAAAAGACATCCCAGGCATCCGGCTGAAGCATCAGATTCTTTTTTTGTTTTTTTGTACAGTTTATCCATTTAAGTGAGAAGTAATTCCACTAAAATGGATGTTAATTTGGTTAGCTATATCTAAATATAAGTAGTCCCTATTGAGATGTTCATGGCCCTTTTTTTCTACTTCATTCAATCGATGTGCTAGATCACATTGCAAGATTTCTCCAGCATTGATTTAGCCTTAACTCCTGATATGAGCCCTACTTGATTGTAATAAATTATTTTTAATGCTTTTTCCACTAGCTAGTATTAATTTTGGCTTTTTGCATATGTGATTGTAAGAGACATTGGCCTATTTTCTCCTCAAATATCTGCTGAAATATACTTGTAAACCCATCTAGACCAACACTTTTTGTGGGTAGGAGATGATCAAAAATAATTCTTGCCTTTATTCAGATGAACTACATAACATTAAATCTCTACAATTAAAACAAAGCGAGCCTTTACTAACACTATTTATGTGGGCTCTGGAATGACTTAATAAATATTTAACAAAAATGCCCTATACATACCAGTACAGTGGTTCTCATGGGACAAACTCTTCCACAGAAATGGCAATGATCCTAAAAGAAAAAAGGTATATCGTTTGAGACGTGTTCAGTATATCTATTTTCATAATACAAGAATACGAGCAACAGAAAGACAAGACTGGCAAAATCTTCTTGGTAGTCATCAGACAATAAGATAAAGTAAGATACAAACATGAATAATATATGGACTCTCAGGAAATACAGTCCCAAAAATGTGTGAATGGCCTGACTTTGTTATCTATGGAACTTAACACATCACTTCATTCTAGGGCCTCTCCCTTTATCGGAGCCCCAGCAGCCAGACATTTCTAGTAATAAGCATTGCAACTCCCATTTAATGAGGGTTTAGTTTGAGCCAGGCACAGAATTTGAAGCCTCCTTTATCTCATGTACACCTGAGCTCATTTACATGTTTTAGGCTTATTTAATCAGCATGATTCTTTGAGTAGTTATGTTGTCATCACAGTTTTGCCTATGAAGAAACTGGAGTTCAGAGAGACCAAAAGACCCAGGAGTTGGAGCCAGAGCCAAACTCTCCTCATCCAGGCCCTGTGTTGCGATGAGTTTGAAGTCATAGGAGCATGGGGAGGAAATAGGTTTAATTAAAATCAGCAAAGGTTTCAAAAGGTCCTGCAGACTTCACCGTTAATTCATGGATGGTGGCAGCCACTGCCTAGAAGTCACTTCTGGGAGGATCTGGACGTCGTTGCAGGAGGCTCATCCCACTCTGGCTTTCAGCAGCTTCTTTAATAAGAAGTGGAAGAGATACAGATGCTCTGGGGAAAGGATCATAGAAGAAAAGTTGGCTTCTAGAAGCAGCTATTTCAGAATGTTTCAGGGGAAAAAAAAAAAGCATCACGGGACTTCTCTGATTCTTTGTGTGTTATCTCATCTGTTTCTCTTATTTGCTTATACTCTGCCAAGTTCCTGAAAGACTGTGTCATTGATTATCTTGTTTCACTCTAATGACAATTCTTAGATGCATCCCTATATTATGGATTAAAAAAAAATAATCAGAGGGGCTAAGTAGCCTCAACTTACGTGGACAGAAGAGGTATCTGACTAGGCTTAAGGTCTTGCATTTTCCAGCATGATCCTGCACCCAAATATATCACTGTACATTTGTGCAAACTCCTATACAACTTGATGAAAAATGTGCTTTAAAATCCAAGTTTTCTTATCTTTGGGGGGAAAATAATTGCATTTCACTCTGGTTTTCTAGGTTGGTATGATAGCCAGACCACATTTGGGGATCTTCAGTCAATGAAACTATGGAAAATTCTTTTTATTTTTAGCCATAATTGCATTCCATATCCTACAATGCAGAAAATCTCATCACCAGGCAGACCCATGATAATTGCCAAACCTTAGGGTGAGAATGTGGTGGTTGGTAAACATCAAACTGTGGTCTTCTCTGCAGACTGTGTGTGCTCTTATGCATAAAGACAAACTTGTTAATGACTTTCTATAAATAAGTTCTAGCTTATAATTGTTGCAGCAACAGCTGCTGAAATGTGATCTCCCCTCAAATACAGAACACCTTTCCTTTTCTCTTTACTTTCTTGTAGAAAGAAACTATTTGCATGCTCTAAAGTGAAATAGTCACTGTCACTTTTTGTCTGTGTGACCTCAGAAGAGGTGTTTAACTTCTCTGTACCTTAATGTCTTCGCTTCACCTATTTTAGGAACAAATGTGGTAATATGGGTGAGCTCTTTTAGGCTATAGAATATACAGCATTCATCTCTGAACTTCTGGGATCTGGCATAGGGTGGGCATTTTGGACCTATACACGTTGACTAGAATTCAGCTTATTTGAGTTGAATATGCCTTAAAAAGTTTAAAGGACCGTAGAAAGGTGACAATAGTAATCATCATCATTTAAAGGAAAGGGAGAGCTTAATGTTTAGGTTCTCTCAACATGTATTTTCCTTCTATCTGTGTAGAACACTTACTGGAAAATATGTCCTGGAAGTTCTTTATTCATCTCCCAAATTAAAACTAGCAGGGGTCAGCAAACTACAGTCACAGACCAAATCTAGCCTATGCTGTGTTTCTGTACCTTTACTGGAACCCAGCCACGCCCATTCTTTTATATTTTTCCATAACTGCTTTCATACTATAAAAGCAGAATTGAATAGTTGTGACAGGTACTATATAGTCAGCATAGATAAAAATATTTACTATCTGAATTTTTACAGGAAAAAGTCTGCTAACCTTTGAATTACAGTATGAGCCATTCAGAATGCATTTCTCTTTAAAAGTTCTCACCTCATTCAGTGTCTGGAACACAGTGAGTGCTCCCCAATAGGTGACATCTTCCTCAAGTTCCCTTGGGAGAACAGACTCAATGTCAGATCCACAAAGGAGACCTGCACATACCTAACCCCTATTTCTGCAGAAGCTGAAGGCTGTATTATCTATTGCTTGTATAATAAATATTGCATAACAACAACAACAATAGCTAATTATAGAATGCTTACTGCATGCCAGGCCCTGGGCTAAGTGCTTTTTTATATTCCGTTTTATAGAATCATCACATTATTATTACTATCCCTGTTACAGATGAGAGACTTGCTCACCTAATGGTACCCAGGGGTGAAAACAGGCTTTGTGACCCATACAGCCCAATGTGATACTCAGTGTCTTGTTTCCCATTAGAGACACCCTTTGGAATTCCAGACTGTTCTTCAACCAGTTCAGTCAAGCGCTTTGTTCTCTCTGTCCCTTGGGACATCACACTTCTTTGTACAATAGACAGCCTGCATTGCTTCATTCATTCATTTAACAATTATTTCTGCCTTGATACAGTTAATATTTACCAGGTATAGGGGATGTCACAGGGGCCAATAAGATAGAGCCCTTGCCTGGATGAAGTCTAAAGTCTAGTGAAAGAGGTGAGCATCATCAGTCACACGACAAATGTCAACATAAAACTGTGATATGTATTTTGAAAAGTACAGAGTGCCACGAGAGTGTGTCATGGGGATCTCCCTCAACAGGTGGCCCTTGAGCTGAGATACAAAGGAGTTCATAAGTAGGAGTCAAACAGCGAAGGGAGGGAAGGGTATTCCCTCCCTTCTCTGTTTGAGGGAAGAGAAGCATAAGAAACAGAATCATCACATGTTCTAGGAAAGGAAGAAACCCAGTATTATAAGGGAGGCTGAAAGAAAGACACTGAGCAGAGCACAGAAAACAAGGAGACATGGTTAGAAAAGTCAGGGGTCCCAGATGTGCATTTTTATGTTACAGGCAAGGGGAAGCCACTGGCGTGTTTAAGCAGGGGTAAGGTCATAGCATTGTCACTCTGAATGCCATGTGTGGTCTTCTAGTTCCAAGGCTGCTCTTTTGCATTCAAAGGGCTTCTGCTAATGGAGCATCATGCTGAGAAAGGCGATCTAAGGTCTGAGAATATAGCCTGTTGCCCTCCTGAGGCATGAGGGGTGAGTGAGCAACCCCCGGCATGCACTGGTCCATCACCTTGCTACCACAAAATGAAAATTCGGAGACCTGTGCAACTGAAGCTGCTCCCAGCTTAACCTATGACAAGTGTGGCTTGTGTCAACTTGGAAGCCTGCTTGCAGCAGGTCTGCTTATTTAACACAGAGGAGTACTTGTCTATTAGCTTGAAAGCTGAATTACTGGTCACCAAAGGCTAATGGTTTTCAGGCTTCCACTTCAATTAGGTGCACAGGAGAAGCTTTGCCTCTGGTCCTAAGAAAATTCTAGGACATAAGTGAAATTCTTCACTACCCTTAGGATGGAATCAAGACCCCCTACCTTGGCCTGCCAGCTCTTCATGGTCTTCTCCTGCCTTCCAATACAATTTCTCCTCATACCACCCTCCCTTACTTAGGAGTTGCCCAATAAGCACATGTCGAATGATTGGATCTATGAATGACTGTATAATCATGGGCAAGACATAGCTCCTCTTTGATCCTCATTTTCTTCATTTTTAAAAGTAATGGGCTGAGAACTAAGGCCTTGGTTTTCTCTAAGACGCCTTCTAAGACTCTATGAGATGCAGAATTGGTATTCATTCAGCAAATGCTTGCCAACATCTCCTCTGAGCCAAATCCCATCACCAGGAATGTGATGATGGATATCCATGCCCTTGAGATGTTTACCCAAAAGTAGACACAGACACAAAGAGAATAGTTTCAAAATAGCATATGCTTGAGTATGAACTCAAATAGTCACAGGAACTGGGCACAATCCCAGCTCTGCCACTATCTCTCAGAGGCTTGGTGTCTCCATGACTCAAATGGAAATAATGGCACTAACTCATGGAAGTTTTCAAGAATTAAATGAGATGGCCGGGCGCGGTGGCTCACGCCTGTAATCCCAGCACTTTGGGAGGCCGAGGCGGGCGGATCACAAGATCAGGAGATCGAGACCACGGTGAAACCCCGTCTCTACTAAAAATACAAAAAATTAGCCGGGCGCGGTTGTGGGCGCCTGTAGTCCCAGCTACTCGGGAGGCTGAGGCAGGAGAATGGCGTGAACCCGGGAGGCGGAGCTTGCAGTGAGCCGAGATCGCGCCACTGCACTCCAGCCTGGGTGACAGAGTGAGACTCCGTCTCAAAAAAAAAAAATAAAAAAAATAAAAAATAAAAAATAAAAAAAAAATAAAAAATAAAAAATAAAAAAAGAATTAAATGAGATGTTTCTGCTGCCATCATCTCTGGCACAAAGAGGTACTCAACAAATGTTGGTGATGATCATCAACAAGTGGTGGTGATGACTTTTTTTTTTTTTTTTTTTTTTGAGACGGAGTCTCGCCCTGTCACCCAGGCTGAAATTTTCAGTGGTGTGATCTCAGCTCACCGCGAGCTCTGCCTCCCAGATTCACACCATTCTCTTGCCTCAGCCTCCCAAGTAGCTGGGACTACAGGCACCCGCCACCACGCCTGACTAATTTTTTGTATTTTTAGTAGAGACGGGGTTTCACTGTGTTAGCCAAGATGGTCTTGACCTCCACGCCTGACTAATTTTTTGTATTTTTAGTAGAGATGGGGTTTCACTGTGTTAGCCAGGATGGTCTTGATCTCCTGACCTCGTGATCCACCCGACTCAGCCTCCCAAAGTGCTGGGATTACAGGTATGAGCCACCGCGCCCAGCCGATGATGACTAACTTTGACAATGATGTTCAGCACCCATGTGACTGTATCAGGTGTCCATGGTTTACATCTGTTCTGATCACCCAGTACCCATGCCATTTTGGTTGCAAAATATTTTGAATTTTGATTAGAGTTCTCCAAACAGAATCAATAGGCTATATACACAGATATATGAGAGATTTATTGTGGAAATTTGCTCACAATTATGGAAGCCAAGAAGTCCCACAATATGCAGTCTGCAAGCTGGAGAACTAGAGGGTGCTGAGTGTGTAATTCCCAACCCCAAACCATAGGGAGAGAGGTGATCGCTAGTATAAATCCCAGAGTCTAAAATCTGGAGACCCAAGAACCAGGAGCTCTGATGTCCAGGGGCAAAAAAAGAGGGATGTCCCAGCTCAAGGAAAGAGAGATAATCCTCCACCTTTTTATTCTATTCATACCTGCAATAGATTGGATGTTGCCCACGCCCACTGATAAGGCCAGATCTTCTTTACTCAGCCTACTGATTCAAATGCTAATATCTTCTAGAAGCACCTTCACAGGCACACCCAGAAATAATGTTTTTCCTGCTCTCTGGGCATCCCTTTGCCCAGTCAAGTTGCCCATATAAAATTATCACAAACTTGCCTCCTGGATGAGAGCACCTATGAGAGCAGAGAGGAGCTACACTTGGTGCTCAGAGATAGTATTTCATGGAAGGTGTCCTGGAGAAGATGAGACACAAAGAGAATAGTTGCAAAATAGCATGTGCTTGGGTGTGAACTCAAATAGTCATAGGAACTGGGCACAAACCCAGCTGAACTATGAGGTAAGGAAGGGTAAGCAACGCTTCCTCAGACCCCATTTTGCCCTCCTCTATACCAGAGAGATCTTTCAAAAATGCACATCAGATCAATTGGTTTCTTCTTTAACACCTGTTACTTCCTATTGTATTCAGAATAAAATCAAAGCTCCTCACCATGATCTACAAAGCCTTGCATGAACTGATCCCATCTTGAGCCACCTTCATCCTTTCCCAGCCATTCCTAGCTGCTTGTCCCTATCTCAGGCTCTTTGCATTGGCCATGCTCTCTACAAGTGATATGCCTCCCTCTGATCTTCCCATACCTGAGTCCTCGTCATCAGAATTTGGCTCAAATGTTAGCCTACCCAAAGGTTTTCACCAACCATACTACAGAATGTTGCTCCCACTTCTGCATCCCTGCCCCCATTCTTTCCAATATTGCCTTTCACTTTGTAAGTCAAAATCTTGTTTTGTTTCCTTCAAAGCTATCTTTGCCACCATCTGAAACTATCTCTAGGAGGACAAAGACCTTCTCAGTCTTATTCCAATTGACCTTAGCACATAGCTGGCCCTTAAAGATGTTTTGAACAAATGAATTCCAGGTCCACGTAAAGGATTGAGGTGAGGTGGCCTTTCTGAGATGAGAAGACAAGGACAAGTCACATCAGATCATGAAGGACTTAGATATAGAGAATGCACTGGATCATGGCACCTGCCATGTGGGAGCATCATGACAAGACTGGTAATATTCTCCCTGGAAGACTGCCTGTCATTTCTCAGTCTTGCATTTCCAGGAAGCTTCTCTAGGAGGATACTCGCCTAAAACTAATTTAAAAAATCAAGATTATAAAATAATTTCCAGGAATCCAGGTTTAGCCCTTTCCCATGGTAATTCCAACTAAACTAGCAGAAGTCCTCAAGGCATCTCTTTAATGAATGTCTTAGATTCTTGAATTTGGTGTTTAATTAGCATGTCATCATCAGCCCCCAAAGAGTTTGCTCTCATTGTCCCTGCAATCTTAGTCAAATCATGCACTTGCTCAGACAGTTGAACAATCACTTATTGATCATCTGTTTCACATCAGACACTCTGATTACTGTGCATAAGCCTTAAAATTGGGGCTCAGTTAAGGTATAGCTTAGGGCCCATCTAAGTTATTCAAAAATTCAGACTTTAAATGGTTGAGATTTAAAAGTGTTACCTATAAACGGCAAAAAGAAATCCACAGGCATCACTTTCAGAACTCATCTGCCAATCTGATACTCTGTCCCTAGCAGGATGTGATTTGCATATTGCTGCTCCCCAAGCCCAAATTCATGGTAGGAAAGCAGTGAACCCCACTTTTCTCCAGACCCACCTGGACCCATGCATGCTGTGAGTGGTTAGTGGGTATTGGGTTGGCATTCTTGTGCCTGACTAGGGAAGA